GCAAGTCTCTGACAAGCTTTTGAGTTGTGAAGGGAAACCTGTCTCCAAGAAGTATGCACAAAATAAGTAAACAGGTCTATTGTGAAATACTTTGTTGGGTTCTGAAAAGATGGGAGTACTTGATGTCAATGACACAATGACACAAAACAATTTGCAAGCCAGTCCACAAATATATCAGTATATTTCTTGATGCAAGCATTTTAGTTTGGAACTAGATCTTTGATTATGCTATAATAAAAGATCATAAAAATGCAACCGAGAACAATATATTTTGCATACACATAGGCCTATGTTCCGTAATCATTCTTATGCATGTGGAATGAACAAAAGAAAAATACAATAATTTTGACATTCTGTAAAATAGTCGCTATTTTTCTAAAAACACATTACACACTGTATTAGATCTGCACAAGCCAAATAGAATATTATTCATTGCCCCCTCGTTAATATACAAAAAATATTTACTTTACTTCAACAAACTGACATACATGTATATGTATTCACAAATTCAAATTCATTTAATGTATGGCCAAATTTGGAATAAAATAACACTAAAATATGTAATTTTACCATCAAGTAGTAATTCGACTTTTAATAGTAAAAGATTGCACAGACTGATTGTCTTATAAATCACAATTATCTTCTGAGATTAAACAATATCACTTTTATGATATCATCAATCGCATATTTTTCTGCATAAAGTATACAATCAGATTTCTGATGTATTCTAATGTGCATATTTTTTTCACAAATACTAAGGTAAATATCAATTTCAGACATCACAATGACATAGTTTATAAGAATAAATATCAGTGCAACATCACACATCAATCTCCAGTTATCTTTGGAGTCTATTGGTTATACAAAGGTTAAGGATGGGGGCGTTTTTAATCACTTAAGCGCCCTTTATTCATTCCCATATTAGGAACAAGCAAACAGATGGTTAATACTTAATAGCAAAGTAATCATAGATTAAAATGATGCTTCTTTATCAATTGGCTAACAACTTTTTAAGAGGCCAGTGAATGATTCACATGCACAAGAGTTATTAATTCTTACTCTAACTCTAGTTCAACCTTCTGATAGATTGGTCTGTTTAAGGGAGAAAATGTAGCATACATATTTTGCTACATATCATTTATATATACTAGCACTGGTAATTTCATTCACTTGTTAACTTATACCATAAAAAGAGGAGACAAGGAAGGTTCCAATTTGCAATTGATTTGGCAGTAAAACCATAAAGGTTGTCAACAGGAAATTTTAGCTAATTATGGTTTCAAAGAGAAAACTAAACTAGAAATGTTTCTTTCAACAGACCAGTTTGTAGTTAGCATATGTCACAAAGAACCTACAATATCCACATATGTTTTAAAGTCTAAATATTGAACTATTCCATGCATTATAGTGCTATAAAATACCTTATCACAAAGATAGCAATCCAATCAGTACATTAACAAAATGGTAAATACCATGCCCATTATTGCAACATCAATACCAACATTATATTTCTTTTGTGACAAGATGAGTGCTTAAACATTTACATACTAAATATATATATATATGTATGGAATTTGCTAAATTAAAAATTCTTACTCACACATGTATTGATAAATATATTACATTTATAACATGAATAACATGATTCTATGCACTCTACAATCACCTGGTCACCAGATTTCTAGCCCCCACACAATTGTGCACCATCTCCACTACTTCCTTTGAAAAATTAGTCACATTGGCTTTTGGCAATCCTCACAGATACCCATTACCTCCAAGGTGGAGAGTTGCCATTTTCAAATTTTCTTGACGAAGAACATTAATGCCATGGCTGCAACTTAACCTGCAAACCATATGATTCACTGTTTGGTAATATATCCACAATGACACTTTTATTTTTTTAACCATCAATTCACATATTCCAAGGTTAATTCAGGAATGAAAATGAATCAGCTTACTAAATACTTTGTTCTCTACCATATACTCCATTGTACATCTTACATGTGAAAAAAAATGCAATAGGTAAACTAATCTTGTAAATTAGTACTGAATTAAATATTCTAAAATAAGAAAATACTCATATTCCTGAGAGGTCAATATAAAATCTGAAAGCACTATTCAATAGTATTTGGAGACTTTGGTGGTAAGCGCTTTATAAGGACTGTTTTTATTATCATTATTATTATTGGAATACATTTTCTTTGATGCACTTCAATGTATCAAGCTCACATCATATGCAGTATGAATACCTTTAAACTTTTGGAAGGAAATGTCAATTTATTTAAAATAAATGGTGAGAGATGAATCATGAAAACATTATGCCTTCATGATTGATTGCATGGTAAATCCTCAAGATGGTGAATTGATTAGTCAGCTGCTGTTTAGTTACAATTGTTTAGTGAGAAACAGCTTTCATTTAGTTAAAGCTACAATGAAGTCATTCCAATACGCATATGATTAATATCACATGCAACTTTATAATACATGCACTTGGCTATGTACACAAAGCATTTTCATATTCATACACGTCATCCATATAATGATTAATTTCTCAACACATAATGATACCTGACACTGTAAAAGAGTAAAATGAAGTGTTAGTTTGTTGTTCAATTACATTGTGATATATCATACTGTGCACATAATGCAACCTGTGTTCTCACCGTGGGCACGTCGGGGGGAGGGGGAGGGAGGGGGAGGGAGTGGCTTTAGTCAGTACACCTGTACCTATATTCCGACAACCATCACCTCATATCCGGGCAGCGAGTATATTCAGGCAAGAGGTATCAGCCCCCGCGGTGGAATTACGGATCTCACACTGTGAGGAACACAACTTGACGCGCCATTTAGCGGCTTGCTTAGTACGACCAGGGAGATGAGAGTTTAAGCTCTCATCCCTGGTACGACCATGTAGTAGGTCCATTGTACGATGCGAGGTATTACAAAGTGAAAAGAAAAGCGATGTGAGGTATAACGTTGAGTGGACAACAAAACATGATTACATAATCCACAGCATGAACATCTTGAAGTTTACATGAAAACAAACACTCTCTTACATGGTATTTTACTCTACCCTGTTTCTGAATACATATCAAGTGCATATAAAGATGGATTAAGCTGTACTCGCTAATGAAAATTTAGAAGTTTGAAAAACATTTCACACTTTTTGATTGACATCTAAAAAATCAAATGTTTATAAAAATTAAGGTATGTACATTGTTGAAGAATGTTAAACACAGTGTATCATTGTAGATTATCCATCACATACATATCTTTGGTATCATCTACTGGATAAAAAAAATTACATTATAAAATTATCATTGCAAAAATATATTGTATAAAAGGTTGACAAATCATGAATATCTCATAAATAAATCAAATCCCTGTTAATGCAACAAGAAACATACATCGTTATTTGTCTCACTATCATGGTGTACTGAGACAGAAAGTTGTGACAAGGGAATGTGTGCTCTAAGGTCAATTCATGGAGCTCTAAATAATTCCATCACACAGAAGATCTCTTATGGCATGGATCTACTTCAGGGCTCCATGAATTTGACTTACTCCCATACAAGTTAGTTTGCTGTACCATGTTTCTAAATACATATCAAGTGCATAAGAAGATGGATAAAGCCTTATACTAAGGAAAATTTTAGAGGTTTGAAAAACATTTCACACTTTTTGATTGACAACATCTAAAAAATCAAATGCTTATAAAAACATGGAGGATTGCACAATGTCAAATGGTGTAACAAGCAGTGTATCATTATGTTGTATTATCCATCACACACATATCGTAATCATATCTTTGGAATAATCCACTGAATAGAAAAAATCACATTATAAAATTATCATTGCAAAAATATTGTATAAAATATTTATAAATCATTACTCATTATCTAGTACAAAAATTCAATTACTGTTAATGCAACAAGCAACATACATCATTGTTTGTTACACTATCATAGTGTACAGAAACAGATAGTTGTGACAATCGCATGTGTGCATAAACTGAGGTCAATAGGCCTGTTTACTAATGATATGCGAGTGACGTCATAATCCCTCGCACCCTAGCGATTGTTACTACGTAGGGCAAGCTTTGCGTGGTGCGGCACGGTCGCCACATTGTTTTTCCATGCCTGCTACGCTATACACATACAAAGCCATTGCTAGCGACCGCGACGTTTTTTCACCCTAATTTCTACAATGGCATCGCCTTCGACATCGAGTTGTAGTTCCAGCAAGCCGTTTTCGCAGTGGACAGTGAAGGAGCTCACCGATTATTTAAGAAAGAGAGGAGTTACGACATCAGGGTACAACAAACAGAAACTAGTTCAACTTGCGACTGCTGTGGCCGATATCGCTTTGCCCCAAGACCCGGACCTTGCGAGCTTCGACTCCGCACGGTCGCTGCGGGAGAAGTTGGAGCGTGCGGGGTGCTCGTTCGACGACCCAATGAAAATCACCGGCTACACCGAGAACTTTGAAAGTATACCAGATTTCGGATTATACGACATTTTCAACTACCTGATAGTAAATAGAACTGACTACGACAGAAAGAAACTCAAAGCATATAAATCGTTTGAGGACTATCGTCTATTTGCTGACGGGAATGTGGAGCAAATGAAGTTCAATGAAGTCCATTCATATGGGGTCTGTCTGCGTACCGTGAATCGCTGTTACACGTGCCGTAACAGCAATGCTTACCTCCCATTTTTGCGATATTTCGTCGGATTTCGGAAAATAAAATCGAAGATTTGTCATGTACAACTGAGAAAAACTATATTTATTTTAATTATATACCCTAAGGTTGGAAAACAAACAGTTTTAAACGAAGTTTATTAGGACGATGATCAGCCTTTTTTTCCTCGCATTCCCCACATCGCCGTATACAAAGTGTGTGTAGCAGGGCCGTAGCAGACACTGCGCTCGGTTTGTTTGCCAGAGCTTACAACCGTGTGCAAATTTAAAGGTCCGTGAATACATTAGTAAACAGGCCTATTCATGGAGCTCTAAATAATTCCATCACACATATGATCTCTATGGGAAGGATCTACTTCAGTGCTCCATGAATATGTACTATGAATGAGAGTTACTTTCAGTGACATGACTATCTTTGGTCTACTAGCAATGCTCATTACCATCTACCTCCCTCTATAGTTCATCCTTTCTTGCCTGCTTGTACGCAATGGTCATGAGATGTTGCCAGAAGTTGACTCTCTCTGGTTTTAAGTTCTTTGCAACCTCTGGGATGAAATCCAGTTTCATGTAATCCTTGTCCTGTACCGAGTATCTTGGCCAGTATGTAACACCAGAGGTATTGCCATCACCATTGGGGTTGCTGGAAAGAGTTAAATGAAAAGAAGAAAAAAAATTACATCTCAATCAATCATTTATTTATTATCAGCATTACTACTTCTACCATTGTAATCATCATCATCATCATTATCATCATTACTATTTTTGTATTAGCGTTATCATTATTTTAATCATTTTTTTAATTATCATTTTTATCATTATTAATTATATAATTTTCATTATTATCATTGAGTAAATCTGTCATTATCATCATTCTAACATTTATTTTCATTATCATCATCATCATTACTATTATCATTATTATTATTATTATACATACCCAGTCTTTGCAAAGTTAGCCCAGTAGGTCATGAGGATGTGACTGAGGTCTTTCTCCTCCGGGGTGAAGTGAAGCCGTCCCAATTCATGTTCCTCCAAGAAGGGAAAGCCAACGACGATGGCCTCCTCGTCACCATGATCAGCTCTCACCCAAGATGGCGCTCTTGAACATGACATTCGGTGCTGGTATTCATAGAAGTACACTTTACCTCCCACGGCTGCAGAGATCAAGGGGCAATTCCACGGTAACGGAAGGACACTCAGACAAGATTTTTGAACTTCAGGTTCATACTAAAAGAACTGTTTTATTAGTATAAGATGTGAAACAGTACAGTTATAATACCTATATAAGTGCCTTTAATTCTCCCCCAAAAAATTGTCATTATAGTTAAGTAGTTTAAGAATGTGCATATTAATTATCTCGGTAACGGAAGGACATAAAAATGGACATGGTTTTTCCAGTTAATTAGTGTTTATCCAAACTTTGTGAAGTTGATGAAGCTTTCCACTTGACTGAAACACATTTTGTTCCCCATAGTTTAATACATACTAATAAAACATTTCTTTTAGTATGAACCTGAAGTTCAAAAATCTTGTCTGAGTGTTCTTCCGTTACCGTGGAATTGCCCCAAGATAAAACAATGTTGGGCCTAATTGATGATGGCAACATTGGTGTATTAAAGAAAAAAGGATTTGATTGGTAGGTCTAGAGGATTTCACAGTATTATATTTGATGTAAAAGATTTTAAAAAACAATCATCATGAAGCCAATGATTAATTTGAAACAAAGAAAAAAATGCCGATTTGATTTCTAAATTTTGATGCATTAAGACCTAATGGCATTTCAAATATTCAAATTTTCTCTCTCACTATAAATGATGAAAACTTATCTCATACCAGAAGGCTTTACTACCTGCATCAATCTTTGCTTTAGACCGAATCTATTTCCCTCTTTGTAATGTACTAACATGTGGCAGAAGTCCAATTACAAAATTACAAAATTTGAAGGTACAGCTACGTCTACATTATTACAAATTTTACAACCCTCCCCAACAAAACCCTTCAGGCAGGGCCTAGGTGTATGAATAGTACTTATTAGTAACAATGATATATGTGTTTCTTACAAAGCAATTTACCAGTAACCAACAAAACTGCTAAGTATCATCATTACCTGTCATTGGGTCTAGTTACAATTCTGCACATTTCAATTTACAGAGCAGATTCTCTAGTCCCTGGGGTGCATTCTAGCTATAGTTGCCTTGTTTACAAATGAGCACATGCTAATCCAATCACATTGAGCTTTGCATCCTACTGGATACCTATTGAGCACCTGGGTGCATGGAAAAAAGCAATGTAGATAAAATGCCTTGCTCAAGGACATAATATCAAAGGTATAGACCAGTTCTGGTCATGTGATTGCATTGTGAAAGAAACATTGTGGAATCAATCAGAAAAGGTTGATCATCTAGCTTATAAGTATTGGTGTGGACTGTAAGGTTCATCATAATGATAACAAATTTGGCCCAGTCTTGGTAAAGTTACAAGCACTGTACACAGGAAGATGTATATGGGACTATGCTGTATCTATCTAGGCCGGATAGATATGATAGTTTACCAAATACATAAATTAGTAGGCATTTTCCTGGCAAAATTTGTATCATCACGTATTAGTCAAAACATATTCTTTCACATGATTGGTAATAAGAGCTTCCATTTCATTTTTTGAGAGGGGGGCATTTCCAAAAGTGGTCTAAACCTAAAACTCACATATATATTATGATTGAAACTTTCAAAACAATAAAAACAGTCAAGATCTACACAATTCAACAGGGCTGAGAAAACATCCAACAACTCACCCCCCCCCCCAAAAAAAAGTCTACGTGATCATACCTGTCCGACTTTCGGCTAGAGCTAGAGCAGGCACAACGTATATAAGATCTCCAACGACTTCTGTAAGCTGATATAAGGCATCCTTGTCAGTCATACCATGCTTGCCTCCATACATGAGCTCAATACTATGTATCAAATCGCTCAGGTCCCCTGGTATGAACTTCTGGAGCTGTTAATAAAAAAAGAATCAATTATAAAACAGTGTACACGATCGAGAGATATATCAAAATGTGACTGGAAAGCTCTATTTTTAGTGATACATCGTAAAATACATATAGATTACCCCAGTGGTATAGGCCAATTGGTTAAGGTTCTTCACTCTCACATGAGACGTCTGGGTTCAATTCTTGCTCAATTCTTACATCCTTGGATGAAATGGTTTGTCCACATGTTCCTCTCAACTCAGGTGTATTTAATTTCTGGTAATGCTTGGAAGGGCAGTATTAATATTGATAAGACCAAATCATCATTGGGAAAACATTTTGTGAAAAAGATAGGAGTATATGTAAATGAATAACACCCGAACAGTCTTAAATACCTATTTATTTTGTTTTAAGTGTAAAAAGTATATCAAGAAATATCACCCCTTCCCCTCCATCACCCCCCCCCCCCCCTGCATTAATAAAGTACAAGTTTAGAAAGTGGCCTGGTGATAATACTCTAACCTCAAACTGCAATAGCTTTCTGAAGGCCTGAACATCAAAATCTGTCAGTAGCTTTGCATGCATCCTGTTTGCTAAGTTTGAGAATCCTCCCTCGTGGTTATTGACACCTATCAACAGCTCAGGCCCAGCAGTTAGCTTCCCTGTCATCAGAGCTTCAAGTGGCTCTTCCTCAATAAAGAAACCATCCACAACAGGTGCAAAAGGTAAGGTGGGTATATCAGGGTCTGTCATGTCGACCTTGATGATATCATCAGCAGCCTTGGTTCGCAGGCATTCCACTAGCTCTTTGTTGCTGGAAGTGGGACAAAGAAGTTTCTTGGCCAGCCTCTGGGCAACATGATGAGGATTCTTGGACATCATGATAGGGCTGTGTGCCACCCCGCTCTGCGAGATAGCTCGGTGGAAGAAGCCTCGTGATAAGTGCGACTGGAGGTGGAGGATGACATTGACAGCTCCAGCAGATTCCCCAAAGATGGTGACTCGGTTGGGGTCACCACCAAAGAGCTTTATGTGGTTATGCACCCACTGAAGAGCCATCTGCTGGTCTAGGAGAGCAAAGTTACCAAAAGCAGCTTCATCTCCTGTACTTAGGTAACCTAAAGCTCCTAAACGATAGTTCGCAGCCACCAGCACCACATTCTGAAACAGGGCATATGGAGACCCATCATAGTATCCCGCTGCACCGTTTACATAGGCGCCTCCATGGAAGTACACCATGACTGCTAGGTTCTCTCCGGGGTTATGGCTGGGTGTGTGGACATCAAGATGCAGGCAGTCCTCATTCATTTCCTGTGAGGGAAATGGTCGTGGAAACACGATGGATGTTGTCTCAAGATTCTGAGGGCAGAATGGACCAGACTTGGTCGCATCATATATGCCACCGGGAAGCTTCTTAGTAACAGGTGGAGAAAACCGCCTAGCCCCTACAGGAGGCTCAGCATAGTATATCCCTCTGAAGGAATACACAGGAGTTGTGGCCGCTGCTACATAACGATTGGTGCCTGTTAATATGGTGTCTTTAATCTGCACTTGGGGGGAATCATCTGTTAATTAAAGAAAAAAAAAAAAAGCAAGAGAAGAAAAAATCAATGACATGGCAAACATCTGTATATATTTTATAGCTAACTTGTGTTTAGTTTCTGAAGATCATTTTAACACCTGCTTTTTGAGGGAGTTGTAGTTACAATTGCTTATCAATCTTTTGCCACATAAATAATGAAGTTAAGTTAATAAAGGTAACAAACTTTCATTCTTTAATGTTGCTAAACATAAGCCATATACAATTCAATTTCTTTAAATGAATACATGTATTTTACTAAGTTTATTATGCTACAATAATTGGGTGTGTAAAATCTGTCTGCTCGGAGCAGTTTTCCAACATATTTTGTCTTTTAAAGCCATGCAGGCACAGTCTCAGCTGAACATATCACTGAAAGAAATAGATTGACTTTTACATCAAATACTAAATTCCCATTGAATAACAAAAATAATATTTCATAAACATTAAATGCTTGGCCCAACCAGAGAACTGTGGAACAGTCACAGCTACCTGGACTAACAGTAACACAAAATAAACTTTAAAAAGTTAAAAGTCATAGCTCCCGTGTTTAAACTGCAAATTTAAACTTTACTGTACTCTGTTGACTAAATTATTATCATCATCTTTCAGTATGTCATCCCCCTCTTCATATACAGAAATGAACGTCTGGTATGGGTCATTCTTTCATAAAGCTTCATGCAATAAATGCAAACTTCACATTAGCTTATAGTCATAGATATATAGCCTATACTGAACTGACAATGAAACTGATCTACTTGAACTTTAAAGCACCTAAAATTTCTAATACTTAGCAGATCCCTGCTTAAGTAAACATATAAACAAACTAGAGGGAGTCCACAACAGAGGGGCTAGATTTGTCACTGGCAAATATGGAATAGACGTCCATGTATCAGACCTAAAAAGTGATCTAAAATGGCAACCGCTATAGAGTCGACGTTTTGTGGCTCGACACTCGCTCTTCTTCAAATCCATCAAAGACCAAGTAGCCATATCCAGACCTGAATACATCACACAACCCCAGAAGATACTCAAGGGACATCATAATCTCTCCTTCTCTAACATAAGATGCAAGACGGATATTTATTGGCTCACCTTCTTTCCAAGAACCATACAGGCCTGGAATTTACTTCCTCCCAGTATCGTTGCCTGCGACTCAGTTGAAACCTTCAAAACCAGACTCTAGGAAGCCATCCAAAGGGGTAATATAATCATAGTCCCTCCCCACAACTGCAATGTGATGGGACTCAATTACAAAATGTTCTAGAAGCAACAAACACTCTCTCTCGAGAATGATAACGTTCTTATTGGTCATCTATATATCCCTCTTGAGGATCAGGACCAGGATCAGAACAGAATCAGAATCCCAATATATGCAGTAATGCACACACTTAAGCTACTTCCACAGCATGGAGAGTACACTGCGTTCTTCGCATGCTGTATGGAGCACTCCAGCAAAGCAGAGTCAACGCTAATAGGTATTGACCTCTAGCACTGCACTACGTGTTAATAGGCAGCATTTAAATACATGAATAGTCAATACACTCATAACACATGGATGCACACAATCGTGCCGATGCGGTTGATCGGCAAGTTTAACAGTGGACTCACAATTTGAATTTTTCAATTATTCTTTCTAACATCGGAGAGTTGAAAAAATTATATTTTACTGCTAATTAGGTGTCATCAATCGTCACTAAAGTACCGATTTTGAGTGAAATCTGTTGAGTTTTGTACAGGGGTGTTTGAAATGTTGAGAATCAATAGCACAGCTTTTAATACACAGCCAGGATAGTAATGCACCTATGTGTAGTATAGAGCAGCTGTCACAAACCTCACCAAAGGCAAAGGGTGTCTAACAGACTCAACCAGGCACAGCAGCAACTTTTCAAACAGATTCTTGGCCTCCCAAAATCATCTCTTTCCATCTCTCATCGCTTTCCTCTCAATATTAATGAATTAGTGTGCCTATAGACACATCTACTTGCAACATCCTGTTGCTGATCTCCGACAAAAGCGGAGGGAGACCAAGAAGAAGAAGAACACACGTGCAATTATAAGAGTGGGGCTATGCTTAAAAACTAGATTTCATATTCATAATACACATGCACGTATTACGAAAATTGTCTATTTATAAATAATTTAGGAGTTACAACACATTTCCTATTTGAGATCTGCCTATGAACATTACTCACCAGAAAGACATTGATTCGTACTGAATACGGTGCAAAGCAATGAGAATAGTAAAAGACGCGACATCTTCAATCTTGCTTTACAGAAATGACATCCGTGAAGTCCAGCTGATCATGAACAGCTGATCTAGTCCACAGCTGATCGGGTCGCGCACGCGCGCTTTCGGTCCCTGGCATAGGTGCCTATCGAGGGGCCGTCGAGGTCAAGTGATTATGTGTGATCCTGGCTCCCCCCCCCCCCCCCCATCCCCCTTCCATGTCGAATGTGAGATCTTGCGGAGCGTCTTGCAAAGTAGGGGGGCGCCAAAATGGGGGGCGCCAACAAAAAGGGCAATATGTGGAGAAGAAAAAGTGGCACCTACAAAGGGAAACCTGAAGGCGAAAACAAACCATTTAAAAACTGTTATACCATTTTTAAACAGTGAGTGAGTGAGTGAGTGCAGGTTTATTTACTATTATTTTATTATGAGTATATACCCCTGCATTGTGATAACATTATCAGGGATGTTTTCAGTATTTGTTTCTCTCTTTAGTCTTAACATGGTCGAATTAGATACTTGGTTTTGAAGGTCTAAATATTCGTTTTTGATCAAGTAAAACAAGAAGTCGCCTAGCTCTGCTTCACAGCCAAACAATATTCTAGCTAGATCCGCGGTGTAATTAATGCATGGCGTGCCAATATAAATACAATATTTTTAGACTTTCTTTCCTTAACTACTGGTACACCTTTAGGTTATCAACCCATATCTTAAAATCAGTTTTGAGATTTTTAATTTTTTTGTGGATGGGGAGGAGGGGGGAACCTAAACTTTTTTTTCTGTTGTTGTTTTGTTTTTCCAGCAAAGACCAGAGGAAGTTTTAGTTCAAAGGTGTAATTTTCAGTTAAACAATGGTGTAAATTTTCAATCATGTTCTATATCCCATCCTTCTCTAACGCACACATAAGAGCACCGTGACAGTGCCTATTTTCACCTAATTTTAGTTACATGGGACCTATCAATTTATCATAAGATATTGAAAAGTAAGCCAGGTTATATGAAAGGCCAACACGGGGAATTATTTTTCTCGTACCTGTTTTGAAAATTAAAAAAAAAGAAAAAAGGTAAAAAAGAAATATGTTAAAAAACAGCCTAGGGGGAAAAACACAAATCACAAATTCATACGTTTATTTCCATGCCACTTTATAATAATAATAAAAATAGCTAGGTTCTTATATAGCGCTTTTCAGGACCGAAGGCCGTCTCAAAGCGCTTTACAGATATATAAAATTTTGGTTTATTATTTATTTAAAAAATACCCTAAAAAATAAATTCGAACATGTAGGGCCTACTTTATTTTAATCTGGATCCCACTACAAAAAAATAATGAATAAACTTTACAAAAATAAAAATAGAACATAAAGCCCCTATTTCAACATGAACTCCTCCGTATATGTTTTTTTAATAATAATAATTCTTTTTATATAGCAACTTTTCCCAGCACCTTTTCCAGATCAAGGATATAATTATGGCGCCGCTCCTAATTAAGTCTAAGGAAAATGTAAGAATTGTATGTGTCAAGTGGAAGTGTCGAGTGAAGTACACTGCTTCTTAGAAACGCAGGGAGTTTGTTCCAGGGGCGGATCTAGCTTTTTGCTAAGGGGGGGGGTTGACCAAAATAATGACGATGCGGAGCATCGTCCACGAGCCGCGAAGCGGCGAGCCGATTTTTTTGGGGGTGTTTATTTGAACCCCGTAAGTGATGTTTTCCTGGCATCTATTAACACAATGGAGACCATAAAAAGCAGTGCATGATAACGTCTTTTTAAATCAAGTAACAGTTTAATACATAGTTATATCCAGAGTTATCATGTGTTTGGTTAAGTTACCAGATGAGTTGAATATATTCTCACAATATTTGCACTTGAAAGGGTTTCTATCCAGCGTGCGTTCTTTTTTCTTTCTTTTTTTCTTTCTTTTTTTCTTTTTTTTCCCTTTTTTTTTTTTTTTTTTTTTTTTTTTGGGCCGCCCAAGGGGGGGGGGGGGTTGCAACCCCCCCAACCCCCCCTGGATCCGCCACTGTGTTCCATGTGTTACCTGTATTCTGATTTTTATTTTATTCATAATATAGGGGGTGTATATTCTTGTAATTCGATGCCCATTCATAGTGAGCCCACATGTATTTCAAATGATGGTAATCATATAAGGAAGTGTTCAAGTTCAGTACTATACTAGATGCGCCATCAACAGCGCGCGAACGCTTTTGTAAAACTAAAATTAGATCGATTCTCTAGATATTTTTGGAGTAACCAATTAGCTGTGCGTTTCGATACTATGCTCTCATTATACATCAATAGCTTGCATATAACATATTTTTGAAAAATTATCCCAATTTTATTCATATAAAAATAATTTAAGTGTATTTAAAATACTTTAAAAAATATAAATATGATAAATTATATGAAAAGTATCATTATAATACACTCTTTGCGTTTATTCACAGTGCGGTGTGTACATGTACTAGATTGGCAACTATAGATCGCTTGATCTCTAAACTACGGCAGCTAGCTAGCTATATACGCACGTTGTTCCACCACATTTTTTTGGTGGATTATTTCAGCGGAGCATTTTCACGCAGTGGCCACGGTCTTTTCTGTCGCCTTTTCCGGGGATTTTTATCCCTATTTTCGTCATTACCTGACACTGATTTCTACATTTATACTCTTCTTTTTCATCTGGAGTACCACTTCTGGTACAATGTCTCCTTCAATTTTCTGCTGGCGCTTGATATTGGCTGTTTGGATTCTACCTGTGTGAAAATGCTCCACTGAATTGGCGTGCACGAGTTCCTGCGGTCGTGATTCGGCTTGCAGGAATTCATGTCACTTTTTTTTTTTTTTACTACAAAATCTACTTTTTCACATGATCTTATTTGATCGAACGTACAACGTTCGAAGTGATGATAACTCGAGATGCTGTGAGCAATTTTTTTGCCATGAACAGTATCAAACCGAGGAATACTACAACGGGAAATGATGACTACTGAACGGATATACGAGTGCTCGCCAGCCCGCTGCTCTCCCGGCTTTATAGCTGGTGATTTCGGTGGGTGAAGCGTGCGTGGGTATATGGTGTCTTGTTTCTGATCCCTATTCTTCCAAAATCGATGGATTTGACATTCATGTAGGCCTTCAAAAGAGCATCATGAATTGAATTCCCAAAGAAAAAACAATGGGTATTAGCTCTTTGCTTGCATTTCATACAACGTGCACTGAGTAAGATAAGACGGGGGAGACGCGTAGACGTATTCGCCTACATCATGTACATGACTTGTATTTGGGTCTGTATTGTAATGTAAGACCATGATGACGAATCTAAATTTTGGAGCAGCACACTGTGTCAGTAAGACATTTATTAGAAAAGAAAATGCAATAAAGATCTCGCTTTATCAGTATGTTTTCTCTTAGCTGCTGCCCCCCCCCCCCCAAAAAAAAAAAAAAAAAAAAACTTGAAATCTCTCTCTCTCCTTGGACCTTACCCTTAAGTGCTGTGCCAAGCCTTTTTAAAGGTAAAGACCAGTATTGGAAACGCCCCAATTTCAAAAAATGAAATGGAAGCTCTCATTACCAATCATGTGAAAGAATATGTTTTGACTAATACATGATACAAAATTTGCCGGGAAACCGCCTACTAATTCATATATTTGGTAAATTTGTTTCTCTCATGGTCTGTGAGAGATATAGGGTAGTCCCATATACATCTTTCTGTGTATAGTGCTTGTAACTTTACGAAGAGTGGGCCAAATTTCTTATCATTTTGATGATTCCAGAACCTTGCAGATGCTAGATGCTAGATGATCAACCTTTTCTGATCGATACACAGTGCAATCGCATGACCATAACTGGTCTTTACCTTTAAAGATAAGCTTGAGTTTTGGTAATGATACAAAAACAAATTGTCACAGAATCCAATGAACTTACACTGAATAAGAGGACACTTTTATTCACAAAAAAAATCCAAAGGGGGGGGGGGGTTAGGGGTTATGGGGGGTTTACACACAGAAAAATACCAAAGGGGGGAACTCCCCCCCCCCCCCCTGTGTACGCGCGTGATGCACATACCAGAGCTCATGCAAGAACAGCTATCCATATTCCACCTCTCTCGATCGCCCTCTTCTTCTCGATAGGTACTTGCCACTCTGCGAGTCTATCTGAATTCATTTTGATGTATACTCGCATAGGCCTATTGATTAGCAGGTTCAATTATCGTTATTTTACTTACATGTAATAATCGGGGTTTTTTTAAAGAGTTTTTTTTTTTTTTTTTGTCTTCTTCAATTTGTATGAACAAAGACTTTCAAATATAGCTTAGTTATTTATGAATACAATGTTTATTATAGATATCGAGAAAAGGTAGATATTGACGACATGTTGGAATTAATCTTTCTACAAATACTAATACATGATACAAAATTTGCCGGGAAACCGCCTACTAATTCATATATTTGGTAAATTTGTTTCTCTCATGGTCTGTGAGAGATATAGGGTAGTCCCATATACATCTTTCTGTGTATAGTGCTTGTAACTTTACGAAGAGTGGGCCAAATTTCTTATCATTTTGATGATTCCAGAACCTTGCAGATGCTAGATGCTAGATGATCAACCTTTTCTGATCGATACACAGTGCAATCGCATGACCATAACTGGTCTTTACCTTTAAAGATAAGCTTGAGTTTTGGTAATGATACAAAAACAAATTGTCACAGAATCCAATGAACTTACACTGAATAAGAGGACACTTTTATTCACAAAAAAAATCCAAAGGGGGGGGGGGGGGGTTAGGGGTTATGGGGGGTTTACACACAGAAAAATACCAAAGGGGGGGAACTCCCCCCCCCCCCCCCCCCCCCCCCCTGTGTACGCGCGTGATGCACATACCAGAGCTCATGCAAGAACAGCTATCCATATTCCACCTCTCTCGATCGCCCTCTTCTTCTCGATAGGTACTTGCCACTCTGCGAGTCTATCTGAATTCATTTTGATGTATACTCGCATAGGCCTATTGATTAGCAGGTTCAATTATCGTTATTTTACTTACATGTAATAATCGGGGTTTTTTAAAGAGTTTTTTTTTTTTTTTTTGTCTTCTTCAATTTGTATGAAC